TATTTATTTATTTAGTTATTATTTTTCTTTTTTTTTGTGCCTCCTTACTACTCCCTCATCCTTTAAGCTTTACTGCCAACCAACTTCTTTATACAAATACTTTTTAATTTCACTCACCTAGCTCGATTAGCTTTAAAGTTATTCTGGGTGAATTTTACCTACTTTTCTTTTTTAATCATCTTTTTTGTAATTAAGAGCATTGGTAATAGTGTGTTTTTGTTGTTAAAAAGTAAACAAATATCTCAAACTGCATATAAAATATGGCTTTACTCATAGAAAGAATAAAACGAGGTTTCATTCGGACGACCTCAGGTTTTTTTAAGTTATGCACTGTTTAAAAGAAGTCAAATTAGCCTCGCATTTTGATAGAGAGTGTAAGCATGACGTTTACGGCAGACTTTTCTCGTAATTCTTAAACAAATCACACACAAATAGAAAAATGTCTCTTACTATTCACCGCAAATACAAATATTTTCTCTCTACTGTACAGACAGCTGAAGATAGACGGCAAAAGTTTCATTTTTGCCGTTTGCCGTTTGACGTATCGTCATGCTTAATCTCTATTACTTATGATCTATTGGAGGACAGACGTAAAGATGACGTCATTAAAATGTTTTGGTTTCTTTATTATATAAAACAAACAGCTTCCACATTGCCGTGTGTTTGTTCACTCAGTGATCACAGAATACGTCAAAATGTGGTAAGAACATCAGTGATTCATTCGCCTAATGGCTCGTGTGCCACTTTTCTGTTTTTACCACATTTTGAGGTAATCTGTGATCTATTAAGTGTAGTTCACACAAGCGACATACAACGACATAAACATAACGACATAAGAAGGACGTAAGCAGTGTGAACATCCTGACATAATGACGTAATAGCAACATAACAGCATGAACTTAACCGTCACCTAAGGAAAAACACCTGATCTTTTCCTCATCAGTCATGCTTTTATGTCGATGTTCACACTGCGATCTAAGCTATTATGTCGCTATGCCATTATTTCGCCGTGTCGTTTGTGTCGTCATGTCGTTAGAGTGAACAGACGCATGGCAACATGGAATCTTTTTGTTAAATCCAATGTAAATAGTGTCCCCAATTAGTTTTTTTTTAGCTAAATACTACTGACACTTGTCTTTCATTCATTCATTCATCCATCCATCCATCCATTCATTCATTCATTCATTCATTCATTCATTCATTCATTCATCCATCCATCCATTCATTCAATCATTAATTCATTCATTCATTCAGGATGTTTACTCTTACAGAGCGAGGAGCATGCGCGTCATACCTTAGGTCCCGGATATCCTGGCGGTCCAGATTCTCCCGAATCTCCACGATCACCCTGACAAAGAATTTAAAAAAATAACAATCAGTATTTAATGTAAACGTATTAAATAAAAATAGATACATATCACTCACTGGTTGTTCTATACTTAGTACCTTTTCTCCCCGAGCGCCCAGACTTCCGTCCTCTCCCAGTCCACCTGTGTCTCCCTAAATGTGGTAGAAGAGAAAATATTATCTTCAAGATTGTCTACTCAAAGGGCTCCCTTAACGATAATGCTGTTTTAAATATGTCAAATTATTGTCGCATTTTGATTGGTTCTTACAGACGCATAGATGACGTCACTAACACTCTTTTTAACCTTTATTATATAAAACAATTTGATTCCATGCTGCCGTGTTTCTGTTCAGTAACTGGTCATAGAAGACGACAAAATGTAGTAAAAACATCAGTGATGCACGCAGCTACCGCCTCGCGTGCCACTTTTTTTGTTCTTACTACAGGTTGAAGTAATCTGTGATCTATCACTGAGCAGACGCACGGCAACATGGAATCTATTTGTTAAATATCCAAACAATGGGTTTTAGATAAAGCTGAGACGAACCTCACGTTTCCTTGCTATGAATCGTCACGCGCTATACAATTTTTTGTCATTTCAAGTTCAGTGGTTATTCGTTGTTTACTTTGTCTAGAGTGGTGAACACCATTCCGTCATTTCTGAATGGCACATGCGCATTTCATTTTTATTGTTCAGGAGATCATAAAAGAAATAAGTTTTCTTATGGGACATCCTTTGATCTTTTTCAATCGCAAAACTTCCTCTCTTCCTGATCGCTGAATGCTTGAGGAAGTTGGCGATGAAGCCCTTTTTATCTAATCACGTCGAACACGGGTGAACACACACTCAGACAACAGTATAATTATACGAGTTAAAACCGCAAGGAATTCCCCCAAATTCCCATTATCCAAAAAGACAACACGATGGAAGTTTCGACCTACCGGAGAACCCGAGATTCCATCTTTGCCTCTTGAACCACGCTGGCCTGTTACGCCCTAAGATAGACAAAGAAATTAGGATCATAAATTATGACAAATATCAGTGATTGTAGTATGGTGTAGAGTTGTTGTTCACGGTGAAGGCCGGAGAATGTATTGGATATTAACAGAGACATTAAAATATAGTAGAGTGGGAACTGTCTAAAAGCAAACATACAAACAAACAAACAAACAAACAAACAAACAAACAAACAAACAAACAAATCATAACATTAAAGGTTCGTACATATTTTACACACCAAAGTCGAGTCTTTTTTTTTTTTAAATCAATACCGTTCTCTCACCCTTTCTTTTCTCTTTCACGCGTAATGTTATGGGGAAAAACAATACAAGAATATTGCCAGTTGACTCAAGTTTTGCTTAACAAATACAAACGTGCTGTACAATAGCTTGCACAAAATAAAACTTTTCCACGCATTATTGTCATGTAATACCTG